ATGCCCCCATCCTTGGAGAATGGGTTTTCATCTTTGCCTCTGCTAAGCTCATCCAAGAGAATCAAACTGCATTTGCGCGTTTTTGCCTCGGGCTGAATTCAAAATGACTGTGTGCCGTACATCCACTGAGAAAGTTGTTTTACCTCAGCTGTACCTTCATCACCTGCTTGAAGATATCAGAGGGGTTGCACAAGCCGTACAGAAATCCTAGAAGGAAACATGAACCACATTAATGGCTTTCTGAACCAATCAGAAAAGGCCTCTCCTCCTCAAGGAGGGGAGGTGTTGTGGGCGGGACGCGATTTCATGCGTCACGCAGGGGCGTTATGCCCCCTGCCCCACTCACCTGGCTGGCGCACCACGCCCACAGGAAAGCGCCCAACCGGGCGGCTTGGAGGGGGCGTGGAGTGCGGTTTAAGATACCGTGGCGCCAGCCATTCCGCCTCACTTTTTGCCTTCCCGTCGCAAGTCACCCACCCACATGTGAACACCCTAGATATTTATGCATGGCCACCACACACAAATTCACTCTTGTGTGTGCATGCACATAGACATACAGCACACATAAGTGTGACTTAGTAGAAGTCAAGGTCTCAATGGATCCGTTTTTAGCAGTCTATATTTGATACACATTACAAATAAATGCACATCACAAATATATTCTGCAGGTTATATAACAAAAAAATGTGCTTAGGCTAGCTCTTTGAGGAACATACCAGAAAAGATGCCCAACAAGAATATTAGGGTCAGAAAAGCCAACATCTTCATGACAGGCCTTGGATGGTCTCCTGAGAAGATATAAATTCAAGTGGAAATCATGGAAATATATGATTTCTGAGCAATTGTAAATGGAGCATGTATACGCCTGAAAAAGGCAAACATGAGCCAACAAGTCTACGTATGCTCTCTTCCTGTTATCAACATTGCTGCAGATTTTGGCTTTATTTATTTAGGATTTGTTTACTTAGGAAAGCAAGGGTCCCATCCTTTATAGGTAGAAAGGAGATGGGTGGAGCAGTTTTGCTTGTTTTTATAATTGTGACTGGGGGTCCAAGAGGGCATCACTTTTTGTTCAGTCCTGTAGTTGTCACACGCAGCACTGTTTCTGCTCTGCAGAAATTTCTCCATCCCTCCGTCCCGTGCTTTTTTTGTTTTGCAACTTTAACAACAGCGGCAAAAATCACCATCCCAATAAATAACCTGTTTTCACCATTTTCCCTCTGAGCCTGAGAAGAAGAGTGGTCTGTCGAACTGAAGGTGACCCAGTAATGAACCTTATCAGTCCCTTGGCAAGTTCACAGACTTCTTTCATCCTTCCGTCCAACTGAAGATAAATGAGTGTTTATACTTCCAATTAAAGCCTGTTGAAGCCCGTTCACACAATCAATTTACTGTTGATGGTTCTCATATACATCTACCAATGCATGCAATATTCGTCTTTTGGTTGTGGTTCAAATTGTTGTTGTTCAGTCGTTTAGTCGTGTCCGACTCTTCGTGACCCCATGGACCAGAGCACGCCAGGCACTCCTGTCTTCCACTGCCTCCCGCAGTTTGGTCAAACTCATGCTGGTAGCTTCGAGAACACTGTCCAACCATCTCGTCCTCTGTCGTCCCCTTCTCCTTGTGCCCTCCATCTTTCCCAACATCAGGGTCTTTTCCAGGGAGTCTTCTCCTCTCATGAGGTGGCCAAAGTATTGGAGTCTCAGCTTCAGGATCTGTCCTTCCAATGAGCACTCAGGGCTGATTTCCTTAAGAATGGATAGGTTTGATCTTCTTGCAGTCCATGGGACTCTCAAGAGTCTCCTCCAGCACCATAATTCAAAAGCATCAATTCTTCGGCGATTAGCCTTCTTTATGGTCCAGCTCTCACTGCCATACATCACTACTGGGGAAACCATAGCTTTAACTACACGGACCTTTGTTGGCAAGGGGATGTCTCTGCTTTTTAAGATGCCGTCTAGGTTTGTCATTGCTTTTCTCCCAAGAAGCAGGCGTCTTTTAATTTTATGGCTGCTGTTACCATCTGCAGTGATCATGGAGCCCAAGAAAGTAGACTCTCTCACTGCCTCCATTTCTTCCCCATCTATTTGCCAGGAGGTGATGGGACCAGTGGCCATTATCTTCAGGTTTTTTCAAATTAGAAAACTTGATTAAGGGAAGAACACTGAGAAGATGCATGCTCTCCCTGTTTCCCTAAACCAGGGGTAGGGAATTTGTGGCCCCAACTCCTATCTACCCCAACCAGCAAATGGTCCATAATCAGGGATGGTGGCAAAGGAGTTATCACCCAACAACATCCAGCTGGACCAAAGTTCCCCCACTTCTTCTCTAAAACTACTCAGCTAACCTACCTGCATGTTGGAATGCAAGAGAAACTGGGTTGGTTCTCAGTGTCCCGGCTCCGAGGAGAGATGGACTGCTGTAGCTCTTCATCTGCTGCACTTCTATAACTATCAAAAGTAAAATGTCACCTCAATAAAGGTAAAGGAACCCCTGACCACTAGGTCCAGTTGTGACCGACTCTGGGATTGCGGCGCTCGTCTTGCCTTACTGGCCGAGGGAGCCGGTGTACAGCTTCCGGCTAATGTGGCCAGCATGACTAAGCCGCTTCTGGCGAACCAGAGCTGTACACGGAAATGCCGTTTACCTTCCCGCTGGAGTGGTAACTATTTATCTACTTGCACTTTGGTGTGCTTTCGAATTGCTAGGTTGGCAGGAGCAGGGACCGAGCAACATGAGCTCACCCCGTCGCGGGGATTTGAACTGCCAACCTTCTGATCGGCAAGTCCTAGGCTCTGTGGTTTAACCCACAGCGCCACCTGCGTCCCCACCTCAATAAGCATCTCTATTAAGGGCCAAGGGTCTGTAGCTCAGCGTCAGAGAACATGCTCTGCACACAAGCGGAGTGCGGCTCAGTCTCTGGCCCCTTCCATTTAAAAGGATCAGAGATCAGGTGATGAGAGAGGCTCTTCTACATCTGAGACCCTGGAGAGATGCTGTCAATCAGAGTAGACATTACTGGGCCTGAGGGGCAAAGTAGCTTCCTAAGGCTGGCTTGCAATTTCTTACTTTCCCATGTTCTATATTTCCTCCATTTATTGTATTAGCAATATTTATAGATCACCCTACAACCAAGTTCTCAGGATGGTGAGAGAGAGAGAGAGAGAGAGAGAGAGAGAGAGAGAGAGAGAACAGGGTAGAAATTGCTAAAAGAATTTAAAGGTCTCAAATGTCGAGTAAATATTTGGGCAAAATAGGTTAAGGTAAATGTGAAAGCAACATACATGCTGCTCTTTACAATAATTGAACTAGAAAAACACTTTAAAACGTTCAGCTAACTGAAATAAAACACAGTTTCCCAAACTGCATTTTCAGTGTATATATACTTACATCTCACACATCAGGTTTTTTAAATATATATATACAAATGCAGTCATTTTAATGTTTGCAGACTGTCAACTATATATAAAGGCAAGGTTTTCTGAAGAAAAAAATTAAAAATACCTTAGATTCTTGGAAGATAAATAAAGGGATGGTAGTTATTATTACTTCACAATATCACTATTTTGAAACGAAAGGGAGGGGAGAAAAGAACTGTCAGCCCATAGCATGAATCTCTGGAATAACTGAAATGACAACAGTGTTGTTGTTGTTTAGTCATTTAGTCGTGTCCGACTCTTCGTGACCCCATGGACCAGAGCACGCCAGACACTCCTGTCTTCCATTGCCTCCCACAGTTTGGTCAGACTCATGTTTGTAGCTTCGAGAACACTGTCCAACCATCTCGTCCTCTGTCGTCCCCTTCTCCTTGTGCCCTCCGTCTTTCCCAACATCAGGGTTTTTTCCAGGGAGTCTTCTCTTCTCATGAGGTGGCCAAAGTATTGGAGCCTCAGCTTCAGGATCTGTCCTTCCAGTGAGCACTCAGGGCTGATTTCCTAAGAATGGAGAGGTTTGATCTTCTTGCAGTCCATGGGACTCTCAAGTGTACACTGCCAACAGTGTAGGCCCCAGGAAATGCTCTCTAGAAAGGGCATTCTATAACTCGGGTGCCACCACTTAAAAGGCCATATCCAGGAACAACAGCAGGTAAGACTGAGAAAATTGCTCACTTACTCGCTTTACGCTCTCTGAGGCCCCAAAACTTACTAGGTCCTTCCATTTCCCCAACTTCAGTTCCACATTTAGAAGAGAACATTTGACGTATTCTATTTTAGAGTAAAAGTTTGAATAATATTTTTATGGGTCTGGACAATGATTTATTCCAAAAGGAGTCAGTTCTCATGCTTCCTGTTGCTTCAAATAGAGTAATATTAATTTCGGCAACAAGCCCACCAGTAATATTGGCGGATGCCCTCCATGGAGAAGACGCCATGCTGAGGACGCCCTCAAAGCTGAAGTCATCCTTGACTGCAATGCTAAACAGCTACCGCAAGGACAACTGTGTCTCTGACCGCCTGGTGCAGAGTCCTCTTCCATCATGGACCTCTGTGCCTCTTCTCAACAGATCATGTGCCCCATCTCCAAATGGAGCTTAAAATGGTAAAGGACCCCTGACAGTTAAGTCCAATCGCAGATGACTCTGGGTTGCAGCGCACAATTCGCTTTACAGGCCGAGGGAGCCAGCCCTTGTCTGCAGACAGTTTTTCTGGGCCATGTGGCCAGCATGACTAAGCCGCTTCTGGTGCAACGGAACACCAAAACCAGAGCAGCGCACGGAAACACCGTTTAATTTCCCACCACAGCGGTACCTATTTATCTACTTGCACTGGTGTGCTTTCGAACTGCTAGGTTGGCAGGAGCAGGGACCGAGCAACGGGACCTCACCCCATCACGGGGATTCGAACCACCAACCTTCTGATCAGCAAACCCAAGAGGCTCAGTGATTTATACCATAGCGCCACCCACATCCCTAAATGGAGCTTAGAGGGAGCCATATTGCTGCTGCTAGCTAGCTTACTTTTCAAGAAAAAAATGCACCCAGGACCCGAACATACCTAGAACAAGTGGCTTCTGATCTGGGCACATCACGATGTTAGCGTTGGGTTCCATTGGTGGAGGAGTTTCAAAACAACATTGTTCAATTAAAGGATTTTGATCAGGCAAGTCTTTACCTATTAGAGACAGATGACATTGTTAGCACAGAGGTCCAGAGGAATCAAGGAGGAGCTTGATGCTTTGGATTTGTATAACATGCACTATCAAGTTGGTAAGAAATGGGTTGTCCTCCCCAGACCCAGCTTAAAGGTTTGCTGTGGGGACAGCAGGAGAATGACTGCATTCCTTGTGGACTCACATGCTCAAGGCAGATAGACCACTGAAAGTGCAGTGGGAAGGTTTTCCCCCACATAGAGAACCAGAGCAAGACCAAGTGCTGTTCTCAGTCTCATCACTACAACCACATGGATTTTAAAAAGTAATGGACTATGTGGAATTCACAAAGCTGACAGCAGTATTAATGTTAAGTTGAGGATGAACATATCAGATGACACAGTGATTCTTCAAACAGCTCTTGATTATTCACAGGCCAGGACAGAACTGAACTGAAGGGTTCAGTCAGCCTGCTTATATAGAGCTCCAGTACAACGTAACTGTTACAATTTTCTAAAACTATCCAATCACTGAACGTCACTTTCGATCCCTTATTTGCATAACTATCTACAGTATCCCCCTGCTGGCCCAGGGTGAGAACTTCAGTACATAACAATTATGGGATCAAAATAATGAACATTTTATAGAAGAATGGAGGCCCTTTGTGGACTATTTGAAAAAAAACACTACAGTCACATGAAATCATGGGCAGGATTTGAGATAGGAGCTGCGCAAGGAAAACAAGAAAGTACAGTCGTACCTTGGAAGTCGAACACTTTGCGACTCAATCCTTTTGGCTCCCAAACGCCGCAAACCCGCAAGTGAGTGTTCCAGTTTGTGAACGTTCTTTGGAACCCGACCCAGAAAGGTCTCCCACCCAAGGTTTAGTGTTACATGTGAATTTGACCACTTCACTTTTCAGAAAATGCACCCTGATCTGCATCAGGACTAGAGTGCACAGGGAAGAGAGATTGAACCCTTTCCCCCCCTCCCCTTACTGTTTTCCAAGTCCCCCCCCCCACCAGCAATCACTTTTTCCAGCTGTAATTTGACCATGAAAGCAAATGCAGTGGTACCTTGGTTCTCAAACACCTTGGTTCCCAAATGCCGAAAACCTAGAAGTAAGTGTTCCGTTTTTCGAATGTTTTTCGGAAGCCGGCTGTCAGCGATTGTTTCCAGGCACCAATCAGAAGCTGCGCCTTGGTTTTCAAACATTTCGGAAGTCAAACAGACTTCCAGAACGGATTAAGTTTGGCACTTTTGTTTCTGCTATTTATTTTGTGTTTTTGTTTTTGAGGCTTTTTCGGTTAATTTCTTTTTGTGACTGTGTGGAACCCAGTTCAGCTACTGATTAATTGATTGATTGTGTGACTGCAGAAATGGACAATGACTATCATCAATGCAGGTAAGAAAAAATAATAATTTTAAATTTTATCATCTACAATACTGTCTTATTTATTTTATAGTACAGTACATTGATTATTGCTTTCATTTTATGGATCAATGGCCTCGTTGGATAGTAAAATTCATGTTAAATTGCTGTTTTAGGGGTTGTTTTTAAAAGACTGGAAGGGATTGATCCGTTTTGCATTACTTTCTATGGGAAAGGGTGCCTTGGTTTTGAAATGCTTTGGTTTTGGAACGGACTTTCGGAACCGATTAAATTTGAGAACCTAGGTGCCACTGTAATGTTTGTAAAATTAAGTTAACCGCCTTCTTATAATTTGGCAAAAAGAGAATAAAGCTATAGAGACTAGTATGGCACAGCATTTGAGCTAACTCACTCAAGATACCATATTGCACATTCCGCTCTCCACAGTGTTTACTTTAGGCCTTATCTCCTTCACCCCATAAAGCAAGTGTTGTGGGAAGTTGAACTCGATTCCAAATGCCGATTTGAGGATTATGTCCTAAGCACACCCACCAAACATCACTGTAATATCTCAGCGCTCAGTGGAAATGTTGCATTATGGTACATTTTTGTATCTTTCATAGCCCCTCTGAAAACCCGGACAGGAATCAAACTCGGGTCTGGAATGCAAAACTGCATTGTGGGTTTATGCATACCAGTTTTTATTCTGGAATCTCAATCTGCAAGGGAGATGCTGTTTTACAATATAATTCTTAGCACTTTGATGTAAGGAATTAGAGACCAGGGGTTTGGTTTTTTTTGTTTTGTTTTTAATGTTCCGATATTAATGGTATCGAATCTTTGGCATTAGGCTTGATTTTGCAGGCCTGCATTTTATGACTCCTGCGCTGCGTTCCCTTTCCCTATCTGACCCTGAAAGTGGGGCAAATGGCAGGATGTTTTGCTATGTCTGCCTTGAGTTAGCGCCACAATCGCCTTGAGAGCTTCCAAGGAACAGATAGGGACAGGAATGTCAACAACCCTCTCGAAGGCCTGGATGCTAAGGAAACAGTGATAAAGGAGGACATCTGAGACCCCAATGGCCTGAGCAGTTAAGGGGCACCCCAAGGTAATTGTGGGGGTGAGGTTGCCAGTATGGAGCCCTGTGTGTTTTACTTCTCATGACCTGTAGCCTTTCTCGATGTATGTAGAAGAATCCTGACTCTTTGTGTGCTATGTTTGAGCCACTATATAAGCTTTGTTCAGGACAAACTTTTTTAAACTGGTGGTTCAGCCAGAACAACCAGTTGCTAGAGCATGAGACCCTTCATCCCAGGGTCACGGGTTTGAGTGAAAGATTCCTGCATTGCAGTGCTCCTTTCCAACTCAACACATCTGTGATTCTGTGACATTCAGAATATGTCAAAACCCCATTAAACTGGGCTCTGTCCTATTGCAATACAGTGGTACCTCAGGTTACATACGCTTCAGGTTACAGACTCCGCTAACCCAGAAATATTACCTCGGGTTAAGAACTTTACCTCAGGATGAGAACAGAAATCGCGCGGCAGCAGCGGGAGGCCCCATTAGCTAAAGTGGTGCTTCAGGTTAAGAACAGTTTCAGATTAAGAACGGACCTCCGGAACGAATTAAGTACTTAACCTGAGGTACCACTGTACAGTCATACCTCATGTTACGTCCGCTTCATGTGACATTCTTTCAGGTTACGTCCCATGGCGACCCGGAAGTACCGGAAGTTCTGGGTTTCGCCGCTCATGCATGCGCAGAAGTGTGAAATCACATCACGTGCATGCGCAGAAGCGGCGAATCACAACCCGTGCGTGCGCAGACGCACCGCTGCGGGTTGCGCTCTTTTCATGTTGCGAACGGGCCTCCGGAACGGATCCCGTTTGCAACCAGAGGTACCACTGTAGTTAATAAACTGGATCCCTAACTGGATCTGCTTGTTGCAATTCACTTGGTCCCGTTTTTATTTAAGCTTGGCTACGATTTAAAGTGACATGCCCGTGTCTCGCTTGGCCACTGAGGGAGCAGAATTAAATCCGAATAAGGCCATTTGTGCTACACACAAACAAACAAAACTGCAGCTCAGTTGGTTCAAGTGTGGTGCTGATAATGGCGAGGTTGCAGGTTTGACCCCCTATGAGACAACCACACATTCTTGCATTGCAGGGGGTTGGACTAGATGACCCTCAGGGTCCCTTCCAACTCTATGATGCTATGATACACACTGAACATGTGCGAGCATCGGCAAGTTAAACCAAAGGCCTCACTTCACTTGGCCGATGAGCACACTCACTACAGCAAGGCTGCATCAGGTCTTCCGATCCACTGCTTTTCGCCCCCCAACTTTTCTGGGAGCAAGTCTCCTTCCAGGTTTTGGAATCCCATTTTCCTTCTGAGGCAAGAGAGTTGCGCTTCCTGCGGATTCTTTTGAAAACCCTGAGAAAAGAAAGCTGAAGTGGGTTTTTTTGTGGCAAGAGAGGGGACCTTACAGGGAGGGGAACCCATAGCTCAGCAGTACATGACTGCATTGCCAAAGGATCCGGGTTCAAATCCTGGTGTTTCCAGGGAGGGCTGCCAAGGACCCCCTGCCTGAAACCCCGAAGAGCCACTGCGAGTCCGTTAAAGGTAAAGGTAAAGGGACCCCTGACCATCAGGTCCAGTCGCGGCCGACTCTGGGGTTGTGGCGCTCATCTCGCTTTATTGGCCGAGGGAGCCGGCGTACAGCTTCCGGGTCATGTGGCCAGCATGACTAAGCCGCTTCTGGCAAACCAGAGCAGCGCACAGAAACGCCGTTTACCTTCCCGCGGAGTGGTACCTATTTATCTACTTGCACTTTGACGTGCTTTCGAACTGCTAGGTTGGCAGGAGCAGGGAGAAGCAATGGGAGCTCACCCCGTTGCGGGGATTCGAACCGCCGACCTTCTGATCAGCAAGTCCTAGGCTCTGTGGTTTAACCCACAGCGCCACCCGCGCCCCTTGCGAGTCCGTTAGGGAGGAAATGCCAAAATGGACAGATGTGCTCATCCCCTGCGAGTCCGTTGGGGATGAGCAAATCTGTCCATTTTGGCATTTCCTCACTTTTTGTGTATCATTCAAAAAAACCAAAACGAAAAACCACCCAACTGCAACCTCCCTCCAAGATGATTCCATCAGGCAGAGCCAGCTCTGGTGCATTGCTTATATAAGCAGAATCCCGAACCAAAGAGCAATGGGAAGAAGACGAACCGTTTCCACATACACTGAAATGCAAGCAGGCCACAGCACAACGTTATTCTTACATAAACCAGGCCACAATATGTTACCCAAGCTCCCTTGTACCTCCTCACTCCCGTTTCTCGGTACGAAATGGGTTTCAGCCTTTGGAGAATGGCCAATCTTTCGCTGCGCCGTTCCAGTATAATCCTTTCGCTGTGGCATTCCATGGTCATCCTGCTCAACATGATCAATAATTTTTATTTATTTATTTATACATACATACATACATACATACCCCACTCATCTGGCTGGGTTTCCCTAGCCCCCTGGGCAATTCCCAACAGAACATTAAAAACACAATAAAACATCAACCATTAAAAACTTCCCTAAACAGGGCTACCTTCAGATGTCTTCTAAAGGTCAGATAGTTTCCTTGACATCTGGTGGGAGGACCCTCAGAGCTGGACCTCAGTGTCTGGGCTGAATGATGGGGGTAGAGACGCTCCTTCAGGTATACTGGGCCGAGGCCGTTTAGGGCTTTAAAGTTCAGCATCAGCCATATAACACATGAAGTGTGATTTCACGCATCCAGAATTGCAATCCAACTGAATCACAATATGGGCAGCGACAAACCACAGCGAAGGATATTCACCTTTTGTGCTCCTGCTGTGCCACAGCAGGGAATAGTGCCATGTGCAGAAATCAACATCCCGATATATCTCACCTTTAACTCGGTTGGAAAAGCCAGTTTCTGGTCCTTACTGCTACAGAGATGGGCTTGGAAGAGTGAGGGAAACGTATGGCGAAATCTCAGAATTGAGCAGAGCAACGAAATGTTCTTCACCGTCTCCCTGCAAACCAGAATCAAGCAATAAATAAATCATTTCAACCTTCACTATGAACCAAAATCAATGAAATTGGCTGAAGGAATTCCATGGGTTCATTTGGAGTTGGTGCACGTCGCAGTTTCCTGCTGAAATCATGCAACTTTTTATACCCCCCCCCAAAAAAAAAAGTTTCAGGAAGGGCAGGTGCTCCTCTTTTGTTGTGCTAAAGTGCAAGGTTACCCTCTGGGTGGCAAAATTGGAGAAGCAGAACGACTAATAAAGCAGAATTCTCTGTGGATAGTATAAACCCATCGCTAATGCACTATTATTGCAGAATAAGGTAAAAGTAAAGGGACCCCTGACCATCAGGTCCAGTCGTGACCGACTCTGGGGTTGCAGCACTCATCTTGCTTTATTGGCCGAGGGAGCCGGCGTACAGCTTCCGGGTCATGTGGCCAGCATGACTAAGCCGCTTCTGGTGAACCAGAGCAGCGCACGGAAATGCTGTTTACCTTCCCACCGGGGCGGTACCTATTTATCTACTTGCACTTTTGACATGCTTTTGAACTGCTAGGTGGACAGGAGCAGGGACCGAGCAATGGGAGCTCACCCCGTTGCAGGGATTCGAACCGCTGACCTTCTGATCGGCAAGTCCTAAGCTCTGTGGTTTAAACCACAGTGCCACCCACATCCCATTATTGCAGAATACAACTGCATAAAAACCTCCAACCAACCCAAGTCCAGGGGGACCTCTCTATAACCCCTTTCAGTTTCATTGCACTATCACAAGGAATGTTACAAATAATTCTATAAGAAGGACAGTATTACTGACCTTACAATGGCCTAATCCTTCATCTCCCGACCTCAGTAACATCAACTTGAATGAAGGAGATCCGAATGTGGTACTTCTATGTCCTGAAAGGGAAGTGATTCCAATGTATCTGATTGGATACAAACTGCATGTATTTCATCCTTGAGAGGCAGCATATATAGAGGCCTCCTATGAAACAGTTTGAAGGTAAAACAAAATGACCTCATAAACGACTTCACTTTGGTAACACTGCACCAGGTGTGAGGTCATGCAGGAGCCCCAGAAGCTGCACTGTGTCATTGACACTTAGGCAGAAAATCCTTCATCATATATACAGTGGTGCCCCGCAAGACGAATGCCTCGCAAGACGGAAAACCCGCTAGACGAAAGGGTTTTCCGTTTTGGAGGTGCTTCGCAAAACGAATTTCCTATGGGCTTGCTTCGCAAGACGAAAATGTCTTGCGAGTTCCTGCAGGGTTTTTTTCCTTCCCCCCCCCTTTTTCCCAAGCTGCTAAGCCGCTTATCAGCTGATCCGCTAAGCCGCTTAACAGCTGATCGCTAAGCCGCTAAGCCGCTAATGGTCTTGCTTCGCAAGATGAAAAAACCGCAAGACGGAGAGAATCGCGGAACGGATTCTTTTCGTCTTGCGAGGCACCACTGTATCTGGAAATCAATATTGGCTCTTGGCTCTCCTATCGCTGGTACCCTGGATACATCATGGCAACTTTTCCATTTAGCATTCATTAAACTTCTGGTGCCTTTTATTTACCTAATTTGTTTCCTCTCTTCTTCTGCCTCTTCCCAACGCTCAGGGCAGTTAACAACAGGTTTGATAGAGTGAAATATAATAAGAATAGGCATATCCCAAGGAAAGATGTTAAAAATAACCTCCCAACCATCAGGTGTTAACAATCAGCCTGGACAAGAAAGAGTAGACCGTGTATCGTCAACTATGATGGAGTACTAAGGAAAAGGAGATCTAGCACTGAGAGACAACTGACTGAGGACACATTATGTTGTGTTTTTGTTGTTTGAAGGTGTTGCACAGACGGTACATTCATGGTGGTCCTATTGATTGATCATCGTGTCATGATGCAGCAGAAAGAAGAAAGCACCCTCTGCAATATGGAGGATCCAAGCTATTGGAATTGATGGAAGCTGGAAAGAGATTCATTAAATAGGTTGTCCTCTACTTCTGTAAAGCTTGCTCCTATTGAAATAAACAACTACAACTAACATGGTTTATATGCAAGTGAGATGTTTGATGGCTACCGGGAATGCGGGTGGGAGGCAGTCAGTGGCCTTAGATTTTCTGTTTCAAGTATTGCATGTATGAAAGTGGCCCATAAACCACAGAGATCACATTGGGGAGAATTCCAATGGCAGTGGAGGTGTGTTTTTCAGAAGCACAAAATGCTAAGAAATAATCTCTCACCTATCAATAGGAGCCAACTGACGGCTACAAATGGGAGGTGGCTCTGAGACAAATAGGGATTGGATGTGTTATGTTGTGGGTGAACATATCAGACGACACAGTGATTCTTCAAACAGCTCTTGTTTATTCAGAGGCCAGAACAGAACTGAACTGAAGGGTTCAGGCAGCCTGCTTATTTAGAGCTCCAGTACAACATAACTGTAACAACTTTCTGTAACTATCCAATCACTGAACGTCACTTTCAATCCCTTATTTGCATATGTGGACCTGAACTATCTACAGTACCCCCTGCTGGCCCAGAGTGAGAACTTCAGTACATAACAGGATGTGGGAAGTCTGGCAACTTACATAACTATCTAAATTAACTGGAAGGTTTAGGTGAAGGGATGGAAGACAGCAAAACCCGAGATTTGAGGAAGGATGTGTGCAGAGTGAAAAACAGGAAAACCAAGAATCATGTGGATACTTCCATGATCAGATGCAGCCTGCCTCAAAATACTAGTAGCTGAGGGACAGCAGTAGGAGACTGTTGCCCTCAGGTGAATTTGTGGACTTCCAGTAAGCATTTGTTTCTCCAGTCAAGGAATCTGGCACTAGACTTGATAGACCTTTTGTCTGATCCAACAGGATTCTGATGTTCTGATAAACAAAAGCTGGGATAAGCCCATATTATTTTATTTATACCCCACCCTCCCTGGCCAAGACTGGGCTCAGGGCGGCTAATATCAGGTATAAGAACAATTGATTAAAATACAACTTAAAAACAAGATTAAAATACTACCGTATTTTTCGCTCTATAAGACGCACCAGACCACAAGACTCACCTAGTTTTTGGAGGAGGAAAACAAGAAAAAAATATTCTGAATCTCAGAAGCCAGAACAGCAAGAGGGATTGCTGCGCAGTGAAAGCAGCAATCCCTCTTGTTGTTCTGGCTTCTGGGATAGCTGCACAGCCTGCATTCGCTCCATAAGACGCACACACATTTCCCCTTACTTTTTAGGAGGGAAAAAGCAAAAAATACGGTACTTAAAATGCAGCCTCGTTTCAATGGAAACCCAGATCAAAAACTGTCTGCGGGGAGAAAACGTCAAATCTTCACCAAGGCCAACTATCCAGACTGGTCCTACGTGGGCCAGAAAAGCCAGGGAAGTCCCCAAATAGGGGTTACAGCTCTTCTTCCTCCCCGAGCTCAGCAGAGGCAGCATTGGCAGGGGGAGTGGAGATATTTCCGGATCAAACCAGAAGCTGGGATGGCTTTCATAATTCTGAGGCTGTACCTGGAAAAGTAGGGATACTTGGAGGGTATGAGGCAGTCCAGATGAGAACATTAAAAGAGCAGCGGGGTTTTTTCATCGTTTAGAAAGGAGAATCTGACATAGATAACACAACCTTCTTCAAAGCAGAGAGTGCAGCCTTGTAGCTGCACAGCAAATTAGTCTAAAAGAGAAATCTGGTGCTTGTTTTTGATTCGGCCATCCTTTCAGACAACCGTATAAAATACATTCTTTTGATTATACTCCAGTGTTTAAAAAGGGAGGGAGAGCCATTATCTCTGTAGGAGGTTCTTACTGCACATCATTGAATAACTTTGTGTGTAATAAGATTGTTTTTTAAACTGTGCATTCCCAGGCAGAACGGACCAACATTATAAAAAAACTTCAATTATCTCTTAACGGTGTTTTAGGAGTCTTTTCTTTTAACTCACCAGCAACAGATCTGTTGTGAGTCACGCCAAAATTCCAATATATTGCCTTATAATGAGAGTAACCAAATATAGAGAAAATCTCATCTGAAACACCCAAACAGCTGTAGAAATATGCCTCAAAGCTAGTTTTATGCTTTAATTAACGGCAAACTTATTTAATGTTTAATTGTCTCAAACAATCAGCCATTCCAATTTGAGAGAGATAACAGAACCCAATAATCAAGAAAACCAGAAGCGCAAAGGAACCACAACAGGCTTGATTTTGTGGAGGAAATTAGGCCTCTACATAGAAGTGTGGAAGTGCTCCTGGGTTCAGCTTTACACCCAGTGCTATTTTTCTCCCCCCCCAAAAAAAGAGGTTCTGGAACTCACCATGAACACCTCCCTCGTTCTCTGAGAATGGCAATGGCGCCCACCTGAGAGGGGCCAGAACTGAGTTCCGACAAC